ATAGTGTGGTAGATATGTGGGGGCGTGTTAGAATGAGCCGTTTTAGGGGGGCGTGGCAGAGTCTTAACTTTGATAAAGAATATCTCTTTGGTTTTGAGACTTTAGTCTTTGCAACTTTAGGGATCTTATCTATGCACAATCAGCTTGTAACACTCCAAAGAGAAAGGAAAACTTGAAATCGCATCATATGACCCCTTTAAACTTTAACTTAAACTTCTAACTTTAAATAACGCTTCCTCCAGTGAAAAAGTCCATCACCTGTTGTCCTCTCACATTAAAGCTATCTTGAACTGTTTTTGCTTGTAAGATGTGCTTGATCTATGCATATTTCTCTCCTGATTCAGACGAGATGACTTTTCCACTGGAGGAAGCAATATTTTGGATAGAGGAGTATTATTTTAACCAGAAGCAACAGCTTGAAGTTACAAACTTCTTAATGATAAACATGTTTATTACAAACATGTAACCTTAATTGATGGACTGGAGTGGTGTGGATTACATGTGGATCATTGTGATGTTTTCATCAGCTGTTTGGACTCTCATTCTGACGGCACCCATTCACTGCAGAGGATCAATTGGTGAGCAAGTGATATTATGTTAAATTTCTCATAATCTGTTCAAATGAAGAAACAAAGTCATCTACATCCTGGATAACCTGAGGGTGATTAAATGATTACTCTTTTAAGCAGACCTTTCATATGAATACATTTATTTACATTTAGCATGACCATGGATGCATACAGCTTAAAGAGTCTGCAATGTATTTCGGATGGTGTTGTGCCCATTACTGCACATCTCAGAGTTTAACCAATGTAACTCCATCTTGACCCTGATGTTTGACGTTGTATGAGCAATAGGCAGCATGGTCTGATGGCCTTGCGCGTATGCAGTCCTCTACCTAATCTGACCTGGTGGAACCGTTCAATCAAACAGATGCATTTACTCACATGAGACGGTTTGCTGACATATTTATTGAAATGCCCTTGTACAGTCAAATCTGAGTCTGATCTTTCACTGGATCTGCCTTATTCTATTCAAGGCTAAAATTACAAAGAAAATGTCATATTTGATCATCACATGAGACATGAGGGATGAGCTATCTGTCACATATCATAACAGTTGTATAACAGTTTTAAGTCTGTGGAGGTCAAACTGGAATAAAAAGGAAGACTAGAGGGTGAACACACTGACATCTGTAGTATTAGAGTAAATTTTCTCTCTTCTCTCAAAAACAATGGTAGAAAACTAATCGTAATAATTAATATTCTCAAATAGATGCTTATCATATACCTAATTGTTGAACAGTAAAGCATGTCATAAAAAACAAATAATAACAGAGTTTATAATAAAAAAAAGTTCCTAAAAACAAAAAAAGACACAAATTCTGGCTTATATAGAAAGGTGATCATTTTAGGCTTAAATTGAAATCAGGCATTAAAAGATTTTGAAGAACATTTCTGAAACGAGAAATAGAAAACGTATAGGCTACTCATTCAGAAAAAAAAAAAAATTATAAACAATGAAAATTAATTTTGGTTTATTTTAATTACTCATCATTACTAAATGTAAATGTCAACATTTATTTACTATTATTAAAATAAAAAAATTGTAATGTTACAATATTTATTGGACCTGATTAATAAATACTGTAACAAATGAATTGCTCATTATTAGTTACTTTTAGTAATTGCATTAACTAACGGGGGCCGCATTTTAAAGCCTTGCCATATTTTTTTATTTGAACTCACAATATTTTCCACGTTCTCCAGCACACAGTTGGCCATGCTGTGTTCCTCAGAGTGCCAGCTCTCATTCTCCATCTCAGCCAGGCCTAGGTCCAGTTGGTTCATGGCTTGTTGGAGGTCCTGAAGTTTCCCCAGAGCCCAGTCAACCTCGTGCTGCCAGCTGGCGGCCTGAGTACTGAACCGCTCCCAGTGCTGCTGAACCTCAAAGGCCTGGTCCTGAACCGCTTGAGCCAGCTGACGAATCTTCTCCTCCTGGACTGTCTCTGCTGAAAGTTAAAGGCAGCATCAGTCAAATGACCTCAAACGAGATGTTCTAAGTCATCATCTCATCTCATCTCATTTTAAAGTGATTGTTTAACTCCAATGTAGCATCTTTTTTAGCGATCTGTAGGTTTCTGCATACCATGACGTAATAGCACACGCACATCACGGAGACGTCTGCATTTACATCTGCAAGATGCATTTTTTAGAGTGTTTGCTCATCTGCAATACATCTATAGGACTATTAGATGTCAAATAGATTTTTAGAAGATGTCTTTAAGAAGCTTATTATTTAAAATGTATGTAAAACTGACGTCTGAAAGAATCAGATGTTTGTACGATGCTTTCCAGATGAAGCGATCTTTAATAGACATCTTGCAGACGTGCGTGTGCTATTTGGGATTACAGTAGATAACATCAGTAAATTCAAGCATCTTCAAGCTATGATTAGTGGAGTAGCACGATCGCTGTTTAAAGGGGTCATATGATGCGGTTTCAATTTTTCCTTTCTCTTTGGAGTGTTACAAGCTCTTGGTGCATTAAGAAGATCTGTAAAGTTGCAACGACTAAAGTCTCAAATCCAAAGAGATATTCTTTATAAAAGTTAAGAGTCAGCCACACCTACCTAAAACGGCTCGTTCTAACACGCCCCCACATATCTACATCACGATGTGGGAAGATTTGCATAACAAATACATCAACTTCGCGCTGTGGATCGCCAGATCGGCTTTCACCGTGGACGAAGCGGAGTCCAGCCCGGGGTCGTCACATGTGGTTGCCGCAAGCCGCCCGCCGCCGCTCACTCAAGCTGGCCTCTGCTCACTCTAGGCCTCCGACTACAATGCCGGCTGTTCTGACTCACAGACTGTAAGTACGTTTTTTATATTTAAAGAATTTGCCACTGGCGTAACATTTCCGTCTCACGCTTGAGGTATTCGGCCAATCATAACGCACTGGATAGCTGGCCAATCAGAGCACACCTCGTTTTTCAGACCAATGAGCTTTGTAAAAATTCGATGTGTTTCAGAAAGGCGGGGCATAGAGGAGAAACAATAATGTACAGTATGTGGAAAATAATGTTTTTTGAACCTTAAACCGCAAAAACACATTTCATTACACCAAATACACAAAATAATGTTCTTTGAGGTAAACAAACACTCGGTTCGTAATTCTGATTCTTTCTAGTGAATCGATTCGTACAAAAGGATCCCCTCTATCATATGTAGCTTTGGAAAGTATGATTCATTCCAGTGATTCGGTTCGTCCTTAACGCTTCTCACTCATAAGTAGCTGTGGAGAGTCTGATTCATTCTAGTTAATCGATTCGGCTTAAACGATTCTTTCTCATAAGTAGCTTTTGAAAGTCCGATTCATTCTAGTGAATCGCTTCGTTCTAAATGATTCTTACTCTCTCATTCAGTTTAGTGAGTCGGTTCGTCTTAAACTTACCATTGTCTTATATGTAGCTTTGGAAAGTTCAATTCTTTCTAGTAAATCGGTTCGTTTGGACGGTTCTTGTAAATGAACATATTCCAAAAAGTTTCGCCTAAGGGGCATTTCGATTGTTTTGAAGATTTAGTTAGGGACAACTATAGTAAGTTATATTTAGAGTAAATTTATATGTTAAAGTTTGATTATTTCAGCTTAACTGTGATCATTCATTTGTGTGGTTCTTATTTATAAATTATAAAATAATTTGAGTAGCTTCAATGTACTAAAACTCTTTGTAAGTAGGCATGTAGACTGGGTTTTCCAGGACTGAATATTTTAGTAGTTAAGAGTCCTAGTACTGACCATATTACAGTGGACCAGCACTTACCTTGTCTCTTTACTCTGAAATCTATTCTTTCCTCTGCGATCAGCTGCTATAAATCCAGCTCAGATTTACATCCGGCCCCTTCAGCACTCTCTCACTTTTCACTTTGTGTCCTATAAGGTTTATTGTGTCCACTGAGCCATTTCAGACACATAAATCAAGCAGCAACGATGCTATAGACTAAAACTATGACCTCCAGAAATGAAAGGTGTTAATAAAAAATTTGCGTTTGAATCCAGGAGACGACCATTTACATCAGAAAGATAATACACATAAAATTTGACACTTGGTGGCATCTTTAATAGAAACAGACAATTGAGGACAAAACCAGACTGATAGGTGAAATCTATCACTGCAACAAAGTGTGTTCAACAGAGGACAGTTTGTGTGATTTTAATGTATGCTACCATTCAAAGGTTTAAGGTCAGTAGGATTTTTTTAAAGAAATTAATACTTTTATTCAGCAAAAATGCATTAAATTGATCAAAAGTGACAATAAAGACAAGTAAAAATCCTGAAAAAAAAATATATATCACGGTTTTCACAAAAAAATATTAGCAGCACAACCATTTTCAACATTGATAATAATAAATATTTCTTTAGCAGCAAATCAACATATTAGAATTATTTCTGAAGGATCATATGATACTGACGACTGGAGTAATGATGCTGAAAATTCAGCTTTGCATCACAAAAATACATTTTAAAATATACTGAAGTAGAAAATAGTTATTTTAAATTGTAATAATATTTCACAATATTACTGTTTTTACTGTGATTTTGATCATATAATAAATAAGAGACTTCTTTCATAAACATTAAAAAAATCTTACAGATTTCAAACTTTTGAATGGTAGTGTGATTGAATGGCTGCTGAAAATTGAGCTTTTACATTTAATTATTAAAAATTTTAAATGAGAAATTACTGACCTCAAAACTTTTAAACAGTAGTGTATATAAAATGTTGTGCATTTCATGTTGTATAAAACACTTTTTTTGTTTAAAATAAGACCTCTTTAATATGTGAATGATCTCTCCTACACAGTAATAGAACTAATTTTGTTTGGTAGTGTATATAAAATGTTGTGCATTTCATGTTGTATAAAACACTTTTTTGTTTAAAATAAGACCTCTTTAATATGTGAATGATCTCTCCTACACAGTAATAGAACTAATTTTGTTAAAGTCTCCTGCTTCTCACATGTTTCTCCCGAGAAAAACACCCCATAAATCTCACATCTGGCCCCTCCAGAGTTTCAGAAGGAATCTTAACAATGTTTCAAACTGTGTTGAGATTTGCCAAGACATCAAAGCCTGCAATCAAAAGATTTCAGTATGAGCTCTTTTTTTCTTATCCAATTCTCCCAAGACCAAATTATCTGAGCTTTGCTATATAAGTATGTTGATACTTATATGGAACATAACTGAGAATTCCTGTGCTATGAAAGAGAAACCTCTATAATAAAATATTCCTCTGGGAGGTCGCAAACTGACACCTGATCACGTCTCTCACCTGAAGCCGTCTCTATATTGCTCTGGACTTCCATTGTTGTAGGTTGAACAGCCAGAGACAGACATGTCTGATTCATATCCTGTCTCCGTCCAGTCAGCTCACTGTGCAAGGCCTGTGTCGAACAACACATTAAAGATGCAGAGGTGTGACTTTTAAACTAAATCACAGAGATAAAGCTAGACATTCATTACATCTCATTCCAGACAATTTAGAGGGGGTGAAATTGGAGATATAATTACTCGAAAAGCAATCAGAAAGCAATGCACAAACCCAAACATCAGCTGAGCTGAAAGTGACAAACTGAGAAACAAAATCATTGAACCAGAGGGAAGATGTTTTGCGGTCAATATCAGAAGGAAAACTTTTGATTAATCCTGTATGGTTTTTAACTGATAAAGCAAGATAATACCACCAACAAACCACATGCAATAATGAGCCGCAGACTCTAATAATCATATAAAAAAATTAATATGCAGAATAAATGAGGTACTTATATGCAATGTTTTAATGCAGTAAATACAATAAACGGCAACGATAAACAGTGCTGTGCATCTAAAGGACATCAATAATTCAGCAGAGCAAAAACTAACAAAATGATATCACAGCCTCTGTTTGAGGAATAGTAATCAAGGGGTTTAATTATTTTGTATTGTATCTTTTTATTACAGTAGAAAAGTCTATATTATCAAAGGACTGCAAGATGCCTGTTTATGCAAAGGAGGAGGTGCTGGGTACAAAGTGGAAAATTATAAGACACGTATAAAAAATATGACTACATCACTCAAAATAGACTGTAAGTGTTTAGCTCTCATACTAGTGAGGTTTAATGGTCCTTAAAATGGCCTTTTCTTAGTTTAACCTGTTAACACGCACACACACACAGCGTGACTGACCGTACAGTAGCCTTGTTTCTGCAGTAAAGTATGTACATCTTCTCCCACCGGCCTCTGCCTTGTCAGCTCCTCATCTTTCAGCTTTACCCAGAACCAAAGCTCTTCAAGGATGGCTATGAGTCCTGTCCATTTCTCCGCACCGGCCTCGAAACACTCTCTGAAAGAACATGACAGTTTGAAGGAAAGTTCAGGACATTGGAGGTATCCGCTTGTTTATATTGCTGGATATATTGCACAAACCTTCTCGAGGCTATATGAATGTGGTCCAGATCTCCAAACTTATCAAGCTCTTGTGCCATGGTATTCGGGATCTGACCCCCCAGAGCCCTTTTAGAAAGATCAGTCTGGGTATCAACATCTGTCTGAATGTCCTGAGGAGAAATAACAGCATGCAGAACTGAAATTGCACCAGTTCAAACAAATCTCAATAGACTCTGATTAAGTGATCGTCCCCTTGGTCTGTGTGGCCTATAAATGAAGAGAAAACAATACTGCCTCTATAACTGTTTAAAGGAATAGTCCACCCAGAATTTTACATTTCTTGAAAATGTACTCACCCTCAGGCCATCCAAGATATAGATGAGTTTGTTTCTTCATCGGAACAGATTTGGGGAGATTTAGCATTACATCACTCGTCAGTGGGTCCTCTGCATTGAATGGGTGCCGTCAGAATGAGAGTCCATTTGTTTATTAAACATGCAGCTTTTCATCTCACATGACTGGACTGGAGTGGTGTGGATTACTTATGGATTTTTGTGATGTTTTTATCAGCTGTTTGGACTCTCATTCTGACGGCACCCATTCACTGCAGAGGATCCATTGGTGAGCAAGTGATGTAATACTAAATTTCTCCACATTTCTTCCGATAAAGAAATAAACTCAGACTTACTCAAACTTAGTTGGCCTGAATGTAAGTACATTTTCAGCAAATTTTCATTTTTGGGTGAACTATTCCTTCAATGCAGGGTCACAAAATCTGGAAAATGCATGACTAACAATCAGGTTCCAAAACACATTTGTGGTTGACAGAACACTTACCTACCTCAAATTGCACACACCTCACCTGCCTTCAACAGCCTGCTGTAATTCCTATCCATAAAACTTCAATTTATGGTGACAGTTTCCTTTAAAGCCTCCACAGACATAATGACTGGTTGGTTTATATCAGAAAAATGTAGCTCTCTCGTTTAGGGCCACAGTGATGATATACAGCCAAGGAAAGTCATCAAACAGAGACATAACAGACAGTCTTTGCTTATTATGCTGGAATCCATTAATATGTGTTCTGCTAACAAGTGGAGCTGGGAAAGATGAAGGAAAATGACACTTGCCATCATTATTACTGCTAACGATGCTAAAAACATGAAATAGCTTGATCAGATCTATTGCAATTTCGTATGCTCACTGCATGCCTTAATGAGGTTGTAGTACAAATTTACACAAGTATAAAAAAATTTATCAGATTGAAAAAATACTCTGCGTTTTCCAGTGTCAACATTTTCATATTAGAGCATTCACCAAGTTATTTATAAGTACAATGACACAGCAAATGACGGATTTCCGAGCAATCTGATGTGAAATTCATGAACTGGAACCTCCCCTTCGATCACTTTTGCGCTTGGATCAAAACATAAAAGTCTCTTCCTGATGTTAGGACAATAAACTGAAGAACTCTATTACATATTGTAAGTGGAAAGATAGTTAATTGATATAACTGTAAAAATCATTGGTTAATATTTGAAAGCTGATAATGTATTCACCCTCGATCCAGTTCTTTTATTATAACTCAACGCAGCCTAGCGATAAAAGCACTATAACAAAAACACAAACGGTGCGTTCCAAATGGGATATATCGCCTTCCGAAGGGCACTTCGGAGTGAAAACAATCATGGCCGCCATATTGAAGACTCGTATCAAACTGGTGCTCAAAACTGGTCACTTCAAAGGGCCCTTCGGAATGAAGGATTACGAAGGGTACAACTGATGGACACTTCGAGCTCCCATGATCCTTTGCGCTGATTCTTTGCATGATGTTTTTATACAGTCTATCTGTGCGTTCCAAACGGGATATATCTCCCTCCGAAGGGCACTTCGGTGTGAAAACAATCATGGCCGCCATATTAAAGGGTCGTTCCAAACCTAAGTGCTCAAAACTGGCCACTTCAAAGGGCCCTTCTGAATGAAGGATTTCGAAGGGTACAACTGATGGACACTTCGGGCTCCCATGATCCTTTGCGCAGATTCTTTGCATGATGACGGCACCTCCATGTGGGCACGTGATGATGACACAGAAGGGCACTTCAAGAAACAGTTGTTTGGTCCCCTACACCCTTCAACCCTTCGAAGCTCTCACTCCGGAGGGTAAACCTTTTGAAGGGATTAGGGCATAGGGATGAGCCCTTCCGAGTGGAACGCAGGGAAAGACAGCGTGATCCGTGTAGTCCGATTTACAAACAAATGACTCTTATGAGCCATTTAAATGAATCATTCAAACAGTCTGATTCGTTCATTTAATGAATCAACTCCAAGTCCAACGGAGCTACTGAATCAACACTTACTGAACTGGAAGTTCCATGTGAGTGCATCATTACTGTAATATAGCCTTTAGCTGCTTTTACTTGCTGTTCAACCAGGAGAGCATTATGCTTGAAAACATGAAAATTTATAACGTAATATCTAGAGCTTTTAAATTATATTAATTCTTGTTAGTGAGATTTAAAGGGGTCATGAATTTGCTTTTTTATTATTTTATACTGTTGTCTGAGGTCCACTTATGACGTTTGCGTGTTTTTTACATTTAAAAACATCAAAATCATTAAGTAATAGGCCATTTTCTACCTGGTTTTGATTTCGGTACAACACCGGCTCAAAAAACGCTATGGGCGTGCCGCATTGAAGACTTGGAAGTAAACGCCCACTGCTATGATTGGATAACAGTTTTGCATAGTAAACTAACTTTCTGTGTGTCTGTTTGACAAGCTGCATCCTTCATAGTTGGAGCCTTCTGTGACTTTGTTTAGACACGTACACATAATCAGGACATATCAAGCGATCTCTAGCAAAGCAATAGTGATGCATAGTACAAATATTTTTTACTCACATAAGTGTGCTGCGCCATTCCTGTCGTATCTAATCAGAGCCGATCCTCCCTATACGCAAAGTACGCAAGCTGCGTAGGGCCCCCGAAACACCAGGGGGCCCCCTTGCTCTCAAAGATGATTTAATTTTAGTTTCCTTTTTGAATTTGGTCAGCGGTTATGAAAACATGAATGTTCATTTCTTTTAATGCGGTGCGCTGTCGCCCTTTCTACGTAAAAATCTGTCAAATCATGTAACGTTAATGTCATACAGACTCTTGCTCGAGACAAAAAAAAAACAAGTTGAAAGCGTACCAAGCCGCGGAAGAGACTGTTTCTCAAGCGCTTTCCGTGAACGCGATTCGAGACGGAGTGAACACGGACAAAGGCGTTTCATTCATTCATAACTCGCCCCCCACCCCCGCAGTTTTGCGTAGGGCCCCCAGAAGTCTAGGATTGGCACTGTATCTAATATAGACGGCACAGCATTGCTTTTTAATCTGCCTCTCTGCAAATCCAGTGTCGACCTGTGTCTTGTTTACAAAGGAATCCGCGGTGAAATTAAGCGAACAAACGCTCAATGTTTTACTCACGTGAGCTGAAATTAAAAATAAAGTTCAACCACGCATTCCTAATATTTGAATCTGAAGGAAGGTTATGCAGTGACTATGTTCTTCCACAACCAGGCACTGCACAATATTCTGCGATCTTCAACGGCATGTTTATTGCTTGGTTGCTCGATCCTGTTTAGCTCCACTCATGTTATTTCCCTACTATGTCATGTGCGAATCAGGAGGCGGTGTTTAACCTATCTATTACGTCATAGGCACATTCCAGGATCTGGTGTTTGCTGGGCCTGGTGTCAATAAAAGCTTTTATTTCAGTAACAAGGACGTTTTCAGTTCTGAAACTTACAGGATATTCTGTAAGATGACCTCTTATATATCAAAAGCTCAAGTAAAAGTTGATTTCTCAATTCATGACCCCTTTAACAGACAAGACAGTTCTAGGAGTTTAAGAACGAACTTATTTCTTTTATTCTTATTTCTTTTATTTATTTGTTCATCCTTAATCCATTTTATTCCAAATGGAGACCACACTATAAGGCTCAATTAAAACATTTGTAAAAGCGTACAAAATGCTTTTAGAGACGTGCCTAATAAATATAATAATTCCCTAACTTAGTCTTTCGAAAGAATTGTGAAACTTGGCGTCTGTGAGATAAGCAATAAAGGTTGCTTTTAGTCAGAGAAATCAGAGACTGGCACACTTGTGGTGATGAAGACATTAAGAAGAAGTTCATAAATGTCAATGCATTAATGTTCTTGCCATCTCATAGATATGGTGCCAGCTGCAGTTTGTGCATAATGCAACATCTCTCTGTCCTCGTGGGTTCGAACAATTTTCAATAAAATTAAGTAATGCTCTCTGTGAAGAATAGTCAGAAGTAATGCTGGGTTGTTGTGATGAGATGGCATTATGAGAAACAGTGCTGACTTATCAGTGTTGTTCAGAGGAGCCAAACATGTATATAAAGTCACTGATGCACTAATTTCTGTGTAATTGAGAAGACTTTAGATCAGGGGTGTCAAACTCAATTCCTGGAGGGTCGGAGCCCTGCAGAGTTTAGATTCAACCCTAATCAAACACACCTGATCCAACTAATCAAGTCCTTCAACCTGGACTAAAACTGTGACCAGGATGGCCGAGTGGTTAAGGCGTTGGACTTAAGATCCAATGGACAAATGTCCTCGTGGGTTCAAACCCCACTCCTGGTAGAAACTTGAGATTTTAAAGAGATTACATTAAAGTTTGAGATGCAAATTTCTGTATAATTCATGAAAAATACAATACTTCTTAGAGAATAAACAACTGTGGCTTTCTGGACAAGATTCCTGATCAAGTCAATCAATGAACTGTAAATGTTACTGCTGCTTTGTTTCACTATAAACTCCAGTTTAGCCACAGATGCATCTGTTTGCAATATCACTGAATGTTAAAACTTGGTTAATGCACTTTTCATTTCTTGTGATGCTACCGAACCCTCTAAAAGACGAGAATCTGTGATTCACACATTCATCAACAGATCTGAATAAAATGTAGCTTCATAGTAAACAAAGTAATTTAAACACTCAGTAAATTTTCACAAAGTAATTTTTACCTTGCACAGTTTCTGATAACGTGGTGATGTGACAGCCATTCTTTGGATGTGTTGTAGAAAAAGCATCACTTTCTGCAGTGAAGATCTCACCACAGCCATTATCTTCAGACTGTTGGGCTTGTTTAAGATTCGCATCCTAAAGGATTTCCACTCCTGATGTTTGCACAGTTAGCACATCATCTCGGATGGACAAATGTCCTCGTGGGTTCAAACCCCACTCCTGGTAGAAACTTGAGATTTTAAAGAGATTACATTAAAGTTTGAGATGCAAATTTCTGTATAATTCATGAAAAATACAATACTTCTTAGAGAATAAACAACTGTGGCTTTCTGGACAAGATTCCTGATCAAGTCAATCAATGAACTGTAAATGTTACTGCTGCTTTGTTTCACTATAAACTCCAGTTTAGCCACAGATGCATCTGTTTGCAATATCACTGAATGTTAAAACTTGGTTAATGCACTTTTCATTTCTTGTGATGCTACCGAACCCTCTAAAAGACGAGAATCTGTGATTCACACATTCATCAACAGATCTGAATAAAATGTAGCTTCATAGTAAACAAAGTAATTTAAACACTCAGTAAATTTTCACAAAGTAATTTTTACCTTGCACAGTTTCTGATAACGTGGTGATGTGACAGCCATTCTTTGGATGTGTTGTAGAAAAAGCATCACTTTCTGCAGTGAAGATCTCACCACAGCCATTATCTTCAGACTGTTGGGCTTGTTTAAGATTCGCATCCTAAAGGATTTCCACTCCTGATGTTTGCACAGTTAGCACATCATCTCGGCTTTGAAAGTGGATCCAAATACTCCTACAGCATGTCCAACAACTTACTGTAAGAGGTCATTTGCAAATGTGTAGTAGAGAAAACACCTCTCCAAAGCAGCAAACAAAGCCAGCACAAAGATCCAACTCAAGAGATGTCCTGTCTTCAGGCTTGTACTTTAATCTTCAAAGGGATACTGAACCATGAAGAGAGAGTGATTCAGAACCATGAAAATTGAAAGTTGGACTACGGTGCAAAAGCTTGTTTCCTTGTCAGCAAAAACTCCCTGTCTGGATGAGAAGATGCTGAGCGAGAGAATGAGAGTCTGAGTGAGTGGCAGAGAGAGAGAGAGAGAGAGAGAGAGAGAGAGAGATTTGGGGAGCACGCAGTATCCACACAACAAGACTGCTTTATACAGTGAGGACCATTAGTCTTCTACAGTCAAAATGCAATATTTTCCATTGCAAAATGTATTAAATAAAAAGATGTGTGATTTCAGAACATCTTAGTATTTGGTTTGTCATATTTTTCTTGCTCTACTGACAGCAGCACTAGAGCTGACAAGAATAAACCCTGATGAATGCAATATGATTTGAGATGTTCTGAAGAACATTTGAACATCTGTACAAACAGTCACATGATCAATGTCAAAAATATCTTGGATTCTTTTCTTTGAAATACAAGCAGACAATATCTGGAGAGTATACAAGGAACAACTGAATTAAATACACTTTTTAAACTTTAAAGCACTTTTATAGTGACAATATGGAGCTCATACATGAGGAGGAAAAAAAACACCTCAATTTTATTCAGAGGCTCAAACTGAGGAAAAATTTGGTTCAAATACAAAACCAAATTTGCAATTTGGTACAGCTGGTTATATTTATATGGCCACAAAGTAAGATTAAATTCTGATAGCTTGTAATGTAAATCAATAAGATCTTTAACAGTATAGCAGTCAACTTACATAAAATGCATATAAATATCAGTTGTTACTCTATATCTTCAAATAATTTGTCTTAGTAAGATGTCATTTAAATGCTTAGTTTTATGATCAAAACTGTAGTTGCCAACATCAGATGGCACATGGCAAGTGGTGGCTAATTTGTTCTGTGACCAGGATGGTTGAGTGGTTAAGGCATTGGATGTAAAATCCAATGGACAAATGGCCTCGTGGGTTCACACCCCACTCCTGGTAAAATACACAAGTGTTCTAAATGCGTTAGTATTATGTTTACAGGTATGACTGTCAACGAACAGGTTTCTGAAAAGTAATCTTGAAACAAACCAGCAACCAGACAAACTAAAATAACAACATTATAATAACAATTTCAGTAAAATGCCAAATTAATTGTTCCCAGCTTTTTGCAATAATTTGTTTTGCTAAATAATTACAAATTTCAGCAGAGAGAACACTCCAAACGTGTTTTATTATGAAAAGCAACTAGAGCGTGTTTGTTTACATACCAACAGTTTAGTTATTACCATATCTTACACCAATTATAATTTATTCAGTTGCTTACAATATGTAGTCCAGTTACTTGATGGGGGGAAGTCGTGGCCTAATGGTTAGAGTCGGACTTGTAACCCAAAGGTTGCGGGTTCGAGTCTCGTACCGGCAGGGATTGTAGGTGGGGGGAGTGAATGTACAGCACTCTCTCCCACCTTCAATACCACGACTGAGGTGCCCTTGAGCAAGGCACCGAATGCATGAATGAACCGGCAGCATGAATGGCTGCCCACTGCTCCGGGTGTGTGTTCACTGCTGTGTGTGTGCACTTTGGATGGGATAAATGCAGAGCACTAATTCCAAGTAGGGGTCACCATACTTGGCCTCACGTCACATCACACTCAAAAACAAACTTGATCTTCGTGTAACACACGTGACTCTCTTTTGAGACAAAAAATACAATGCTGACATCTAGTGGTGTAACATGGCAACACATTTCCACTGTTGTGAATCAACCTGATGGGAAAATGTGACTGTCAATAGAGGGCTCTAACAGAGTGTAAATAATATCTCAATTTTATCTTTTTCTCATTCAGTGCATTTGTAGCTTGCTCATTATACAGAAAAACGGTACGAAGGCACTACGGAACTACTAAAACAGAATTGAAGTTCAGAAGCAGCATGGCTGAGTGGTTAAGGCATTGGTCTTAAGATCCAACCGTGGGTTTGAACTCCACTCCTGGTAGAACATTTAAGCATAATGTGAAAATGTAGCTACGTAACCAACAGTGAAACAAGTAACTAAGTAGTCTCCCTCATAGGCTACACCCAGTTCAAGTCTTGCAGACTCTACTAATGAGCTGATGAGTTGAATCAGGTGTTAAATGAAGGAGACATACAAAGTATGCAGTGGTTGGAGGTGACCAGGACAGGTTTGAGAACCACTGGCCTAGTAAATCAATGAAGTGATGTGAAGTGTGTCCAAGTATGGTGACCCATACATGGAATTTGTGCTCGGCATTTAACCCATCCAAGGGCACACACACCATAAAAACACACACGGAGCAGTGGGCAGCCATATTGCTGCGGCACCCAGGGAGCAGTTGGGGATTCGGTACCTTGCTCAAGGGTCTCACCTCAGTCGTGGTATTGAGGGTGGAAGAGAACTGGTTATTCACTCCCCCCGACTGACAATTCCTGCCGGACCTGAGACTCGAACCCGCAACCTTCAGGTTACAAATCCGACTCTTCGACCATTAGGCCACGACTGCCCCGAAAGTCACAACTCTGGTGGGACATGCTTAGTTAATACATCAACAGCTTCTTAAACAGTCTAACCCCAGTTTACGCGTCTTGCTATAAAATTCGACCAAATGTAAATGCATATAATTATAATTTTTCAAATGGAGGATTGCATTAACCCCATGGGGATAAGCCAACCAGAGACCAAGATGGCGGGTGGTTAAGGCAGGGGTGTCAAACTCAATTCCTGGAGGACCGGAGCCCTGCAGAGTTTAGATTCAACCCTAATTAAACAAACCTGATCCAACTAATCAAGTGCTTCAGGCTTATTTGAAAACTACATGGTATGTGTGTTGGAGCAGGGTTGGAACAAAACTCTGCAGGGCTCCGGCCCTCCAATGAGTTTGACACACCTGGGTTAAGGCGTTGGATTTAACATCCAATGGACAAATGTTGTTGTGAGTTCAAACCCCACTCCTGGAAAACCAGAGAGAGATTTAAAAGCATTATTGTTGACTTGAACCCTTTGCAAGTAAATGTGGTTCTCAAAAGAGATTGATTTCTCATGCTGATTCTGATGAAAATGCAACAATGTAAAAAAAGAAAAAAAAGAGTTCTCAGTTTTTGTTCAAATGAATAAGATTGCAGGGTTTTATATTCAAACCAACAAACACTTTTACACAATGGCTTTTGCAAGTTATATAGCAGAAGTAACTTTCAAACTTGGGAAACCTTCACTGATGCAATACTATGTATTTCACAAATTTCCTATGAGAAGCACAATATGGTGATCAAACAAACGTAAATGCATTAAAAGATAAAAATATTAAATTAATGCAACAAACCATACATACACATACACAAATGTACCTTAAAGCAGTAGATTCATCAGTAAAACATGTTTCTGTATAATATTTGCTTGTGCACTGTACATGGGCGTAAAACACTTTTTACTTGCGGTTTCCTTTTTAATATCTTTTACACATCAAGTAAATGTCCTGCGACTCTCACAGAAGTTTAGCAGTGAGATTGCAGTATCACTTCAGCTCACTTGCATTGCAGCTCCTGTGGTTTACAAGACACAACGTTTTTCGCAATGACAACCATCAAGCACAGGCACTAGGCATTGGTTGGTCTCTTCAGAGCAAATCACATGACATGGTTAACACTAGCATGCAAGACTGTTGTTCGTTTAATAAGGTATGGCTTATGTGAAATGGAAGGCGGCAACACTGAGATCATTTATTGCAACATGGAAAACAGCAACAGAAGAGCTGTCGACAAGGGTTTTTCTTCTTATATTTGACAGCCTTCTTTATCTGAGTTGTGGCTTTGGCCACAAAGTCTTGGGTGGCATATACATTGGCCTCAATGTTGTCCACCATGGGCCCTTGTTCCTCCACCAGCAAAGCCAGCTGGAAAAACAGATCATGGATGTCTCTGATGCGACTCTCTAACTCCAAAAGCTCCTTATGGCGATTCTCGATCTCAGTGAGCGCTGAGCGAGCGGTTCGCCCGTCTGTGAGCAAGTCGTCAGAAAACACATTCCACTTGCCTGTCTCGATCATTTCTTCGATTTGATCTCCAGTCACTTCTTTACCCATGATCTTCACTTGCCTTTGGATGCGAGACTTGCAGTTGTCCCTCTGCGCCATTTCGGCACTGTTGTATTCATTCATGGCCTCGTGAAAAGAACCCGTTATAGAGACGAACTGGCCGCGTACCATGCGCGCCAAAGCCGAATGAGCTCCGTGTTTCTCCTCCAAATCTTTACAAAGTGCATCCATCTTCTGTATCCGAGCATACAGGTTCTCCCCTTTAGTTTTGATGTTGCGTGCGATCGTGTTCGAGTCGCGTTTGATGCTGCTAATGCGTCTGACGGAGGTGAGAAAGCGCGTGTTCTGCTTGCCCAGTCTCTTCACCTCCATTCGGAGTTGGGCGATTTCTTTCTGGACGGATTGGACTTCTCTGAAGGTGCCCTCCATGATGTCCTCACCCTCGAACACCACCGCATGCTGTTCAAATTCACCACTGTCCACATCCTCTCCGCTATCTACTTGGTCTTCCTCTCTGTGGTCTTTGGTGGGAACACCTCCCAGTTCAACCAGCCTGTCTCTCATCTTTCCTGGGAAATAAAGATTAAACCAGAGGGAAATTCAGTTTGTTCGACTTTATGACCTACATGACAGGCTTTGAGATCTATATTGCATCGTATGCAGACACATACAATCAATATACAATCAGACACTGTTCACAATTCAGGCCTGAAAGCCTCTCATTGATAGTTTTCAGTACCATTCGCCATGAAACTTAATTAAATATAAGACCAGAAGTATCTGTCATTTAATCACCGCAATGGCAACCATGAAGCTGCACATTTCCCACCCAAGATATGGTCACCAAAATAAAAAGGGTGGGGACTTCCCTTTAGTCCTCTGTTTAACACCATGAGGCAATAAGAGCAAATACATGATTAAGTGCTTAAATCTAAAGTCCTGGAGTAAACGCATTATTGTCTCATTGTGAACATACAAACCACAAGCAACAGCAACACAAGTGAACTGAACAGTCTTCTAGTCTTTTCCCGGATGTAAACTCAACATTGATATATTACATTGGTGCACAATGTACATATTAAACGTAATAATGTGTGCAAGTTCAGCCACAGAAATAAAAACAGACTGTATACCAGTTTGATATTGTGAACACTGATTCAGTTTCTCGATTTAGGTGAAAAAAATAACTGAGCATCTTCATTTTCACTTTCTTAAAAATAAAGCAGTCTAGATCTCACAAAATTAACCATAATTCAGTCTAATTGGAATAAAACAGAAGAACAACGCTTAAACAAACAACGCAATCATGCTGTAATTTCAATTTCCTCGTTTAGGCTAATGTAGAGTACGCGTTTGATTTGACGTTTCGCTAAACAACCTCGCGACAAACTTTTTGTGTGCATCGAATTCAAATGAGTTAAAATGATACATAAACTGTCACGTTACCTTATTTCATGCCCCCTTGTTCAATTCAAACGCTATTAACGCGAACTTCTGTCGTTTTCTAACGCGCATCACATCTCAGGTCACATCGTTGCAGGAAATAACGTTGCAGGCAAATGACTGACTGACTTTGACTGCTGGGAGTTTCCGATAAGTCAAAACACGAAAGTTTACTGACGTTTTCTTAAGTTTAAAATAAAGAGTTACCTTGCAAACATTTACCAAAGTAATAGTACAGTTTTACTGTGGTAACTTTTGGTATCTGGAAAAAGCTTATCATAGTAATTTATTATATTATAAATTACTATGATACGCTTTTTCCAGATACCAAAAGTATATATATATATATATATATAT